TGTGTGTGTGTGTGTGTGTGTGTGTGTACCTGGATTTTAGGACCTTTTCTGATATAAACACCTACCTAGTCAGGACCAGTGGTCCATTCGGGGACCACAGACCAGTCCATTCTAATATGGTGGAACTCCATTGATGGATAAAGTCAGGGGTTCCTAAACTTGTCCAGGCCATGGCCCCACAAAACAGCATTAGCTTCTGGCTGGAGACCCCCTTTGCAAACCAAAAAAAAATGCTACAAAATTTGTAAGGAAATATCCATTTTTACTTTTATTTAGCATAAGAATTTTACTAACTTTAAACACTATTAAATATATTCCCACTGAAAAACAACTTTTCAGCAAACTGTTAATAAGAATTGAACAAAGAAATGCAACCTCAATAAATTAATTAATTAATGAAAATAACAATTGAAAAACATTCAATTTTATTATAATGATTTAAAATAACCATTAGATTTAATTTTAATTTTAATTTCTCATCTTCCCTCCATCTTTCTGAGCTTGTAAAAAGAATTCATTGGAGCCAACCCAATTCAAAACGGCCACAACGATTGAACAACAGATTCAGTTTTAAATAATGCTTTATAACATTATGTAGATTGAAGTTTATGATTTTAGCTTTTTTTCTCATCTTCCCTCCATCTTTCTGAGCTTGTAAAAAGAATTCATTGGAGCCAACCCAATTCAAAACGGCCACAACAATAGACTGACTGAAATTAGAAAACATAAAAATGGTTATTACTCAGTCAGTTTCACGTTTGGCTCATATTTGTTGTGGTAGTAGCTGAGAGTCATTGGTGAATGTGTTCACATGAGTGATTGTCATGTGAACAGGGGGAGTTGAAGAAATTTGGGAATCATTTAAATACTGATCTTAAAAGCATTACACCATTTTTAGTTTCCTTTTGAAGTATTCATTTTTATAAACTGTTGTGTGGCTAATTGTTATGTCTTGATTAAAATAGGTTTAGTTACATGCCTAAAACACCATGACAACACGTAAATAAACCATAAATGAACTATAAGGACAGTGATCTTTGTTTGAGTTCCTGGAACACAGCCGTAGGTTGTCTTTGAAGACAACGTCAAAAGGAGGTGTACTTCTGTTTTTCCAGCAGCACTGGTTTCTTTCTTGAGCTGAAAGCAATTAAACCATCGTTCAGACCCAGTACTGGAGTGGTTGTATGGTCTATTCTCTTTACATTTTCATCAATTCAACATTCATGTGGCTTATGCCCGGTTTAGTCACGATTTCAGTAAACAAACACTAAATTTTCTTACAAATGAACTCTCCTGATATCTCATGAAACGTAAGGTTATGAATATAACCACGGTTCCTTGAAAGAATGGAACGAAGTACAACACACAGTTGGGACACGCGCGCCCTCGCGCGCCTGGCTGAAGCCACCTCTAATCACGTCTTTAGACCGGTGACGTGGTGACGTTGAACGTCTGGTGACAGGCTCCGCCTTCACCCTATAAGTTTGGAGTCACCAGCATCATCACTCAGTTAGATACCGCCCTTCACCGAGCCTTTTGTGATGCGGGGCCAACAAGGTGTTGTACTTCGTTCCATTCCTTCAAGAAACCGTGGTTATATTCATAACCTTACGTTCCTTTTCAGTCATTTCACTCAGTACAACACACAGTTGGATATGGGACTTGTCAAAGCGCCCCGCAGAGCAGTATCAGACCTGAGTTAAGTAGTGTGTCTGAGTAAGTAATGGACTAATGCAGAGCTTTGGACCCGGCAGAAAGTACAGAATGAGCCACCGAAGGTGCTGTTACATCCTGTAAAATCGTGCAAATGTGTTTGGCAAATTGGAAGGTTTTTGCTGCTATATGCTAGCAAGATGGCCTCTACAATCCAGTGAGAGAG